GGATCTGGTGGCACTGGGTGGGATCTGGTGGCACTGGGTGGGATCTGATAGCTCTGGGTGGGATCTGGTGGCTGTGTGTGGGATCTGATAGCTCTGGGTGGGATCTGAGGGCACTGGGTGTGATCTGATAGCTCTGGGTGGGATCTGAGGGCACTGGATGGGATCTGATGGTTCTGGGTGGGATCTGATAGCTCTGGGTGGGATCTGGTGGTTCTGGGTGGGATCTGGTGGCACCGGGTGGGACCCGATGGCCCTGGGTGGGAGCGCAGACCCAGTTCCCGCGTGTGGGTTCCCGCGGGAAGTGCCCCGGCCGCCGGAGCTCACCCTGCACTCACCCTGCACTCGCAGGTACAGCGCTGTCTCTGCGGTGCCGAGGGAGTTGGTGGCCGAGCACCGGTAGGTCCCGTCGTCCGCCGGCGTCACCTCTGGGATCTCCACGCGCAGGGAGTTGGGGGCGGCCCTGACGCGCACCCGGGGGCTGCTCCCCCCCGAGCCCGTGGCCACCGGCTCCGGGCCCCGCAGCAGCGCCAGCCGGGAGGGAGGGTTGCTGCCCACCGAGCACTCCAGCACGGCCAGGCGGCCCCGCTCCGAGTCCAGGAACGCCCGGAGGAGCGGATCACGGGGGGGGACTGCGGGGGGAACGGGCTGAGCCGGGACCCCCCAGGGACAGAGGGACCCGCCAGCAGCCACCGCCCCGGGAAGGGAGGGGAGGGGAGGGAAAAGGGGAAGGGAAGGTTTGGGAAGGTTTGGGAAGGTTTGGGAAGGGAAGGTTTGGGAAGGGAAGGTAAGGTTTGGGAAGGGAAGGTTTGGGAAGGGAAGGTTTGGGAAGGTTTGGGAAGGGAAGGTTTGGGAAGGGAAGGGAAGGGAAGGGAAAAGGGGAAAAGGGGAAAAGGGGAAAAGGGGAAAAGGGGAAAAGGGGAAAAGGGGAAAAGGGGAAAAGGGGAAAAGGGGAAAAGGGGAAAAGGGGAAAAGGGAGAAAGGGGAAAAGGGAGAGAAGGGAAAGGGGAAAAGATAAAGGGGAAAGGAAAAGATAAAGGGGAAAGGGGAAAGGAGAAAAAGGGATCCCACCCCACACCCACGG